TGTTGGCTCTCACAAACGCGCAAACGACCGCGACATCGACCTCCAGCGTAAACGCTCCTCGAGTTACATCATCCGCTGGACCTTTCTTCATCTACGACACTCATCCGACCGGGAGTCTCGAAGCATCTGTCGTTGCGTACGAGCGTGAGACGGCTACATACCAAGTTGTGTGCCCAACGGCCGATGCAGCCTGCCAGAAAGAGGGTTACTGGCCGGCCAACGTCACCCACATCGAGGGCTCCAGCTGGGTCGGAAGCAATACGGCCACGTCCGGCATCGTGAAATATTGGGACTGCCGGCTCGGCACTGGCGGTCGTCCAGTGCTTTCAGATCAGTACGGACGGTGCCACGTATCAACATCGACCCCCTCGCTCAGCACCGGGACTATGGATGAGGAGCTCGCCGTCAACACATGTTTCGTGGAGGCGCGATCTGTCGTTGTGGCCATTACTGCAGGGTTGGAGAAGGTCGAGGCGGTCCACCGGATACTCACGGAATCCGAGTACGTTGGGGCTTGGGAAGCTTCATCTCTGATGTCTATGATGAGTTCTCGAAGTGCAACCGGAACGTGTTCGCCCTTCACAAGCCCTGCGCCTTACACCGGTTCTCTTGTAACGGGGAGCTCAAGTTTGGCGTTGCCTGCGGAGACAGGTGCCCCAACTAGTACGGGGACGGAAACGGGTGCGGGAACGGGCTCGGCGACAGGTGCGGCAAGTGGCACGGCGGGGACTGGTGTGGCATCGGGTGCGGCGGCTAGTGTAGCTTCGGGTATGTCGATGCTGCTCGGAGCGGCATTTGTGGGGTGTGGTATTCTTTGGTGATCGGCAGACCAAGTGATCGGATGAAAGCTACGATGAAGTAAACTAGCATCCATGTAGCATATCAAGACATGGCACCTTGGTATTCAGTCATCATTGCCGCTAATGAAATTACATACCACTGCGTGCCAAAGGTCAATTTACCCCGCGATCTTGTTACAACATCCGAGAAAGGTCGAGACCGTGCGCGCGATGCCGCAGCCGCATGTGAGCTTCGGGCCGGGAGGGATGAAATGCCAGGCGGGCTTCTTGACAGCTTTCTGTCGTCGGGAACGCGGCGCGCGAGACAGACAAGACAGTGACATGACAAGGCGAGACTGCGTTTGTTACCCCGCCGGTTCGAACTTGGATACGAATGCTTCGGGACGTCTTCCTTTAGACTGCTGCCGGGCGCAGGGATTAAGCTTTCTGGTTCCCTCTGGCCAGTTTCAAGACGGCTTGAAACCCGGTGTCGTCAGTAGAGTTGTGCTGAACGCGTATGCCCCCATTCGCGAATCTCAAATCATGTTGTGGCTGTTGATTGGCCGCCGGTGGTTTGGGTTCGAATGCGAGTGCCTTTTTGCAGCTTGTCTGGCTTGCCTCGCAAGTTGGCCAAGGGTTGAAAGATGTGTCCAAAGGTAGTTATCTTGTCTGTGTTGAGATGGATTGCAAAGGTAAGATTGATCGCTTTGTTGATGCTGATTATAGAGTCTCGGTTTCGTAAACGCCGTAATGGATTTGTTGTCTCAGCAACTTGAGTTGGATACCAAGGAAGGAAGACAACTAATAGTGCGCCGGACCTAAGTACGGATAATCCAACTCAAACCTCGGTTGCAACTGACAAAAGCAATCTAGGTTCAGCTCGGAATTGAGGCAAGCCGCAAGTTGCAAGAATGGAACGTAGAGTGAGGTAGCATGCCGAGTGGGCCTTAATTGCTTACCTAAAGCCAGCAATCGCCTGCGACTGGAGGGGGATTCAGGGACGGGAAACAACTCCGGGGTCCTAGTTTCATGCATGTCATAGCTATCCGTAGTAATCCGTATTGCTGTGAAGATCTTCCATTGTCTGTCTCTATCCGTACGGGTACTATACAAGGTAAGGTACCGGGTCTCGAGGATGGGTTGCTCGCATATACTTTGGTTTGCTATCGATCGAGCTGAGATGGAATTGAACCGAGGCGGATGGTCACAGGAATAGTGACATCTGATGCACTCGAAAGCGAAGCGCTAGCAGTCTGCAGTGTCCAGAAGAAGGCCTGTTCCCGTGTTCCGTGGACCGTGGACCATGGCACTCGTGGCCATGGCTAAGCCCCCATGATCTCCATCGGAGCACAGACAGCCCCAGAATCTTGAGCCTGTGAGAGAACTGAGGCAAGGAAGGTTCTTCGAAGAATCAGACACCATAAGGTCGGAAAAAGCCACAAACAACAGCCAACCTGCGATCCTAGGTACATTACCTACTACGTAGAAGGTCAGGTACCTACCTACCTAGTGGAAGAGCCCTTGGAGGCTCAATCACCTCTTTCCCGGCCACACGTCCCGGGTGGTGGCGTCTGCCAGATCCTAGGCGGCCATTTCTTATTGGCATATTTTCTTTCCCGTCCCTTCCCTCCAGCAGTGCAGCTCCCAGTCCAGTCCAGTCACTTTCAGCTTCCCTTTTCACTTTCTCGACATTCCTCTCTCTCACGCCTCGCTGTCTCTTTGCCTGGCCTGATCTTGCCCTTCTTTTCTTGCTTTTCCCGCCCCGAATTGCACTTTATCCATTGACTTGTGGCCACTCACACTTCGCCTTTCCAATTTCACCCTCCAACAGGCTACGCCGCTTTCGACATCCCCAGTCTTTGTTTGGCCCCCCCAAGGAACAATATTTCGTTGGGCGTCAGGTGCGCCGCAGCCCAGTGTGCGATGCGACAAGCTATGTTTCCTCGACTACATCTCGAATAATGCATTGCGTACCGTTCAACTCACCGTCGAACCGGCAATTAACAACACCTGACCCCTATCTATCTTTCTGCCAGCTTCTCCCATCTCCAACCTTGGCTCGACCCCGTCCCGGGACTTGTACTCCCTGTCGCGCCTCTCCTCTCGATAGGACGGACGTACGACACCCATCACCCGCTACGCCTCTTCCACCTCTCTGGCGGGTTTGGGCTGTCTAATTCGTCCAACCTGCTCACCTCAGCCAACATCACATCTCTCACTTTCGACTCCGCTGAACGACGACAAACCCGAGAAAACGACGACACTGACACTCGATCTCGACTTTGGCAAAAGGAGCTGCTCTCATACGCTCCCCCAAGCTCGGAGCTCTCCACCGATCTACGCTCGTTATCGTTCCCGTGTCTCCCCCTGAGCTACCTGCTCAGGCCCCGCCACATACCGCTTCGTCCTATCTTCCACAACCCCTCCCCGCCCGTCCCAAGCTTTATCGCGACTACCCACAATGCCTACCTACCTCTGCCACGGATTTCGTTGGGATCGTCGAAGCATCCGCGTCTTTGTCGTCGTCCAGAACATCGACGATGCTGCCCCCGAATGGATCATTGCGCCAAGCTCATCTCCCGCCATCCTCGAGTCCTTCTACTCTCTCTTCGACTTCCTTCCCGAGCCCACCCCCGACGAAACCGAGGCCCAACGTGACAAGAAGAAGCGCAACAAGTCCAAAGCATCCAAAGCCGCCGCACTGCGCAACGAATACGATGTCCCAGCCTCGACCGTGCCGCCAGAGGAGGATGACGTCTTGCAGAACGATTGGAGTGCTGTCAAGCTGCTCGAGGAATATGACCCGACTGATCTGAGCTATGTCAGCCGTCCCTACGCATATGTTGCCGACCACGTAGTACGCATTGATTTGAGCAACTCGATAACGGAGGAGATCATGCGATACGAAGAACGATTGAGCGAGACCAAGGCTATGGCTAGCGCCCCTAGCGATGAATTCTACAAGGCCAAGAAGAGCTCGTCAGGGAAGAAGGCTGGCTGGTTTGAGAAGCTAAGAGATCAACTTCAACGAGGAGAGGATATTCGCTGGTACATTGTGGTATGCGGCGATGAGGTGCGCGATTTCCCTGAAGACATGGGTGCGGCAAGGGCGGAACAGGATGAGTTGGAAAGGGAGGCTGAAAACGCGACACCCCGGCCCCGCGACCGCAGCGCAGGCCCTTCAACATCAAGAGGAGGGGCATCGCCACGTGAGTACATGTCGAGTGTACCAGCGAGTCAGTTCGCAACAGCCATGTCGCCGCAACAGCTCTCACCAAAGGAGGCGGGTCTGCCTTACGGCACACTTCCCCAACATCCCAACATGGTGGGCAATTGGACGGAAAAGGAGACGCCAACACTACAAAGCAAACCTTCCATGGACTTCAGGCCAAAGACACCCAAGGGCGGTGGCTTCAGAAGATTATTCGGGAAGAAGGGCGATGATCCATAGAGAGGCGGCCTCAGAAGAGTATTCGGGAAGAAGGGCCATGATCCATGACATTTATTAGACGCTCATTGGAGAGCGTTTTCGAGGTAGCTCTCCACGACCTGAGCCTGTATTTGTACCACTTTACCGTGTGCTGTCTGGGTACGACAAGCCACGGCATCCTCCGTTTTAAGCGAATCAGCCGCACGCCCACGCGGCAATGTAGTAGACACGGGGTTCAAAGCGAAGGCGTCTGCTTGTATAATTGACTATTTTATCGGAAACAGACAAGGAGCGGAAGAAGATAGAGGAGGGGAGATTATCAAAGTCTTCATCTTTTATCCCTGTTTGCTTCCATATCTTGCCGCACACCGTCCCGTCACCCGCAACCCGCAACCCGCAATCCGCTAAACCCAGCCGCAATGACACCCTGGGAGGATCCCCAGCTTCCCTTTCCACTAACAGCTGGAGTAGAGCAGGGGTTAGCTTGCCAAGGTACGTCACTGGTCGTGGGACCTCTCTCGAGCATCCTTCCATCGTTCCACGTATTTCAGCAGCAACGCGCCCAGCTCGCTCTTCCAAGACACCAATCTCAAGCTAGCTCAGTCGGCCACGCCCACCTCCAATGCGGCGGAACGAAGACCTGCATTCATTGCGGACTACGGCCTGCAAGCCAAACATCTGCACAGCATCCAATTCCATGACTTAAATAGCTCTTGCCTGCAGAACGTTCCCCCAGGTCGCCGTGTGTTCTCGACTCTCACGGGGCGCATGACGTTCCCCTCCCTGTCGTAATGGCCGAATCCCTGAGGCTTCAGACACCTAGCCGTTCAAATCGCACCGGCGAAGCGTCACCGTCATTCGCGCAGACGACAGCCGAGTTCAGTCTCGACAGCGATCTCGATCTCGACCCCGACGATGACGATGATGATGCCGAGGACTTGCGTTTGCATGAAGCACAGCTTGGCGGCGGCCAGGCCTACGAGCTGAAGAGCCTGAGGGCATCGCCTGCGAAAGTTACTGACGACGGATGGGGCGATGAAGTGCCGTCGCTGCGGAGAAGAGCTAGCATCAGCACCGTCGCAAGCTTCCAGCTTTACACCCCGGACGAGGAGAGGTCTGTTATTCACAAACATGACCGAAAGCTAGTAGTCTTTGTAGCACTGCTATTTATGCTCAGTTTTCTGGATCGATCTAGTATGACGCACCTTGAGCCGCGATCATGTATGTTTGCGACTTACTGACGAGCCCTCCTCTGCAGATATTGGCAATGCGCGCATAGCCGGCATGGACGAGGACTTGCAGACGAATCCTCCGTGGGATGGTTGGTATGAGTGGACATTGACGGCCTTTTATATCTCGTATATCTTCTTTGAGTGGATGTCGCTGCTATGGAAGCTCATCCCTGCCCACATATACGTCTCCATGATTGTCCTCTCATGGGGACTGACTGCCTCGCTGCAGTCTGTTTCCGTCTCGTACCCTACGCTCATCTTCCTTCGGGTATTGCTGGGCATTGGAGAGGCCGGCTTCACAGGTATACCGTTCTACCTATCCTTCTTCTTCAAGCGAGAGGAACTAGCATTTCGTACCGCTATATTTATCTCTGGTCAGTATTCTATCACTCCAGACGAACGTTCCAACCGACTGATTATGAGCAGCCGCACCGTTAGCAACAACATTCGCATCGTCCTTGGCTTGGCTCATCACCAACTATGCAGAGTCTGGACCCATAGCCCCTTGGCGTCTTTTGTTCCTCGTCGAGGGCTTCCCATCCGTTCTCGCCGCCGTAGCCGCGTGGCACATCATTCCTGATAGCCCAGATACAGCGCGTTATCTCACTGCGCGCGAGCAAAAGGTAGCCCGCCTTCGACTTCGACGCGAGAAGCCGCACCGGAAGAAGCATGGGGGGAAGGGTTCTAGCAATCTCGACCTTGGTGAAGTGTTTGCTGTCTTGTGCGATCCCATGGCGTTGCTGACCGCGGCCATGTTCTTCCTTACCAACATGGCGTATTCCTCTCTACCCGTATTCCTGCCCAAGATCCTCACTGAGATGGGCCACTCTCGCCTTGCATCCCAAGGCCTTAGTGCTCCTCCGTACTTTCTGGCCTTTCTTGCCGTACTTTTCACAGCGCATCTATCAGATCGGGCGCAAACCCGGTCCGTTCCCATCGTACTGCACGCCCTCGCATCGGCCGGCGGATACGCCGCGCTCGCCCTGGCAAAGCCCATCGGTCTCTCACCACTGATGCGGTATCTCGCAGTGTATCCGGCGGCGGTTGGCTTCTTCAACGTCGTAACACTCACCGTGGCATGGAGCATCAACAACCAAGCGTCCGAGAGCAGGCAGGGCGGGGGGTTTGCGCTGATGCAGATTATCGGGCAATGCGGACCTCTTGTGGGGACGAGGTTATACCCGGATCGAGACGCGCCTTTCTATGCGCCTGGGATGCAAGCCTGCGCGGGTGCGATGCTCGCCGTGGCTGTCTTGGCGGTGTTCCTGAGGTTCTACCTCTCCTACTTGAACCGCAAGATGGACGCCGCTTGCGCCGTCGGTAGCGAAGCCGAAGAAGAAGAAGAGGGCTTAGTGGGATCTGGATGTCGTAAAAGGACGGCCAGCCAAGGGTTTCGATACATGCTCTAAAGACGGGAGGGTAATATTGTAGTAAAGTATCCATATCCAAGAGCTATGCGTGTCAGTGGGGAGTTGTGAATGTAAGCAGGTAAGCACCTTAGTTGTAGATCAAGGCATGGGACGAACCCGCCATCGCCGAGCCTCGATGAAAAACCTACGGATAATATTTTAATTGAAGCATCATGTTGAGAAACGGCCAATGAGAAACCGTCGAGTCTGTCGTCGGTCGTCCCATGTTTCTTGTAGAAAGCCAATGAGACTATCCGCACCTACCTCACCTTGCGTGGATGTGGTGACATGCCGCGGGCCAGCGCACGGGCCCGATCTGATTAAGAAAAGACCTCGGCTCTTTCCAACTCAATTGAAGCTCCCATCCTGGAACTCTAAGAACATCCACAGCTCGTCAACAATCGGGTCTTCATCCAAATCATTGAACTCCGAAGTCGCTCGTTTCAACACCACGTCGCCGCCCTGGAGATTGGGACCCTTGCGTTACGCGTCACACACGGCAATAACTCAAAGACTTGGAGAAGAAGAGAAAAAGGCATCAACCTCTAAACTCGTAAGAAAGGGAACTCTGACCGCAACAATGAAGTCGGCGAACCCAGACGTCCAGCACTTCCTGTCTATCCCCTGGTGCGCGGCACGCCTCAACGAACCAGACACGGTCCGCGACACGGCGCCCTCACGGTTCCCGAAGCAAAACACAGAGGACCAGCTGTTTTCGACGACGCTGAACACGGCGGATACGATTGCTGCGTACCTGACCTTTTACAAGCGGCCGTCTCCGTCGTCGTCAGTTCCCGCATCATCATCATCATCATCAAGCACATCCTCAAGCACCTCAACCATACCAAAGGACGACGACGCGGGGCTAAACATCATCCGCCAACTCAAAGCCCTCCTCACGCTCCGCAGCGGTGTGAACGGATACCCGGACGTCTCGCATGGCGGCATCGTCGCCACGATTCTTGATGAGACGATTGGGCTCGTATTTCCCGTGAACAAGAGTAACGGCTTAATCCCCGACGCGGCGTACATGACGGCGTATCTTAATGTTACGTATGTGAAGCCCGTGAGGACGCCGCAGACGGTGTTGTGTGTTGTTGATGTTACCAAGGTTGTGGGCCGGAAGTGGTGGATTGATGCGAGGATTGAGGATGAGGGGGGCGTGGTGCTGGCGAGGGCGGAGAGTTTGTATGTAAGGTTGGTTGAGAAACTTTGAGGAGGGGTAAGGGAAATGAGAGTATTGATGTGGGAAGTTTGATATGGGAGGGTTGTGTTTCTTTTTGGCGAGGTTGTTGTGATTGGGATAGATGGGGACGTGTGTGCTATATTGATAGAGGTGTATGGTGAGTACAGAAACCGCGAGTGCATATAAAGTTTGCTTCGAATGAGTAGCAGAGCTCGCTATATTAGAAGTAAAGACTAAGCCTACACACGATTAAATACCTATCCGTTTCTGTGGAAAGGAGGCAGATCGCCCGCTTTGACCGATAAAGAGGGAAAGGCATGTCACTTGGTCCTTCGATTTTGGCTACTTGGCCGAGATGTGAGATTGTCAAACGGAAGATCATTGTATTATGATCATATCCAGTGGGCTCCAAGAAACTCTTTGCGATGAATTTGACTGTGCTGTCTGGCCGTATTGACTGACTGCGTGACACTGGAAGCAAGAAGTGCATACATGGCCTCTGTTAAGCTGGTTTGGTCTAGCAATTATGCCAGAAATTGACTGCTGTCGTAGAGGCCATGGCGCCTTGCATCTCACAATTTCAGGCCAGAATCCGTATCGAGGGGCTGCTAGGTATCCCATACATGCCCCCTCGACCCCATTCCCGTCACCAGCCAGCAGGCGCCCGTCTAGGTCGACGGGTCAGGTCAAACTGGCTGGATGGTGGAGCGGTCTACGGTCAACGATCAAATCGCCAACCAGCCTACTCGACGACAGGCTTAGCGCATACGAGTATCACGAGTTCGAGTCCCGGAATGAGCACCAGAAATTTCCCAGCATGAGCACCACGAGATGTAGCCACATCACCGGTGGTGAACTCTTTTTTTGTTCAACCTCTGTATTTAATAGATACCCTTTGGTATATTGTAACCGGTTTATTGAGGGGAAAATGCTCCTTGCCTACCTCAATGCATCAATGCCATCCCGATCTGAACTACGACCACGTCCTTGAACACTCTTGGAAATGTCCTCTTATAGTCTGGACTCGGGATTGGGGAAACTTCCTCGTCACATGGAATATTTGGCTCATATATCCTGTGTGGCAGAAAAAGGGTTGCTCTATTTGATGAAATGCTATTTGGATAGAAACTCGTCTCATTCTCCGAACGCGAGTATCAACTTCGTGACGATGTGCCGGCTGACGGTTCCTCGAAGAAGTCATCCGCCACCAAGAGCAGAGGCCCAAAGAAAGGTTCTCAATGCCTCTTGAGAACGTAAGATCAAGAACGAGTAGAGATCAGTTCTTCAGATCATGATGAGAAGTTTTGTTATCGCGGACGGTTTCTTTAATAATGCACTTGCCATAAGTATCGTAATGTGACGTCCAATTCTCAGGAGCCGGGGAGGATCCACGGTCCACATCCTCCGAAACGGTCTGCCGTCCCACTGGTCGGAGCAAAATACCCGCGCTAAGCCTCTTTCGTCTCACCTTCTTGAACCTCTCATCGAAGGATCCACCTAAAATTTCATCCTTGCTCAATCGCTTCATCCATCGACTACATCAAAACCTCTCTCTCTCTCACTCTTACCCAGAAGTTCATACACAGATAAGTGTGGCAAAACATATCACATCCGCCCAATAAAGGAACACGAAGGGAGCCAGATTCTGTACGGACTCCATCATTCAGGGAAGGACACCGCGCCTCGCTCATTTCCGACGGCTTGACCGACCCTCGCCTCACTCCAGTCTCACTCACTCACCAACACCACCACCATCCCAAACCATGGCTCCTAAACGCGCCGCCGAGGGCGCATCCTCAAAGGACCACCAAGTCAAGAAGCGCAAGGGCTTCGGACCAAACACCCTCCCCGAGGGCCCATGGCGTAGAAAGGGTAAGGAATATCACACATCCCACCGAACCTACTTCTCAAATGATCATCATTCACTAACCTCTCCCTCACAGTCGAAAAGAAGAAAATCGAGCTCATCCACAAGGCCAAGATCAAGAAGGCCTACGCAAAGATCAAGGAGCGAGAACTCGCTTCCCGGGAGCCCTCCTCCTCCTCAAACGCGCAGCAGCCCGCCACCGCACTGGCAAAGGATGTCTCCAGCGAAGATGAGCTCGACTCCCTCCAGGATCCCTCCAGCAAAACGGGCTCTCCCGCGCCAACCTCAGCACCAGCAGAAGCAGCAGAAGCAGCATCATCAGCAGTAGACACACCCACTGACGCCACATCCTCATCCTTATCAACATCAACACCGGCAACAACAACAACAACAACAACAACCACGCCTCACCCCTCCAAAGAAGAAGTCCACCCCTCCCGCGCAGAAATGCTCGAAAACGACGGCGAACCCCCCAACCCAAACACCATCGCCGTCAAACGCAAGCGCACGGCGGAAGAATCAGCCGACGCCGACGCCGATGCCACAGCGGCAACCGAGGACATCGCCGCCGCCCCCGCCGCCGGCGATCGCTACGAACCCCGCCAGCAGCGCAGACCCCGCAAGCCAGGCTACTACGAGAAGCAGCTCGCCCACGCCGAGAAGAAAAAGGCCGAGGCCGAGGCCCGCCGCGCCGAGATCCAGCGCCGCCGCGAGGAGCGCGAGCGCAAGACGGCCGACCGCGAGCGGTACCGCCGGGCCATGGCGAAAGCGCGCAAGGGGTCCGAGAACGGTGGGCAGCGCAGGCTGGGCAGGGAGAGCGCGCTGCTGTTGGAGAAGGTGAGGCGTATGGTTGGGGATTCCAAGTGAGGGGCAAAACCGAGGAGGAGGATGAGAAGAATGAGCGGGACAGACTTTACAAATAGTCTGCCTGGTCCTCTTGCACAGCTTGATACCACATTTGTACATATCACATTATTAGGGCACAACGGTTTATAAAAGTTTCGGATTGGCTTTGTTCAGATACAAAGGATGGGCTGCGCCATCCACGAGATATTTGCAGCGTCACTAAAACTTGGAATTCCACCTCGCCCGCAATGACTCCATGCGCAAGTACCATGCTCTCCAGCGTCGTGCTCGATCATCATCCTGTCACGTATGACTCGTCCTCTTCCTAACCAATTACAGGAACCTCGTCACAAAACGCCCTCGACACGTCAAGATTGGACGAGGTGGAAGCGCACTCTCGCAACGACAGTGGATGCGTCCCGTCAGCCCTGATTCCTAACCCTCCTTCGAGAACCGAAGAAAACTCCTTTCGTGCCCCGAAGCAAGAAATATGGATATCATTAAAGTTTCCTGGCGCGAAGAAACATTCCCATAGTGCTGCGGTTATGACGGCGTTCGAACGGTTCGAATCCAAATGTGCGGTAGTACTAAAGGCCGCCAGACGTGAGGAAAGTATCTCCGGGCCAGATTCGTTGAATAGAAAGGGGTCGAGGGCGTCAGGTCGTGGGTGCGTTGATATGTACATGGAATTTCCAACATCATTTTTGTCCATCCAAGCCAGTCTTTCAGTCGGTAAAGATGGTGTGGCTGTTCTCAACAACAAATTGCACCGCCAGGTTCTTGGCGTGCATGTCTGTCATCTCGCGTTCCAGGCTCGTGTCTCGCATGATAGTGGGCGCGAATACGACCGCCAAGTTCTTGGGAGACATCTGTCCTATCTGTCAGCTTACTTGCTAATTCAGATACTACTGAGATTGAAGCTTACCAAATTCTCAGGCTCCCGCTGCGCAACCCGCGCAAGATGAAACATTAAGAACTCGAGGCAATCGCGGTGTCGCTGTGGCATCGTGCTGAATACCTTGCGAAGGTGGTCACAGCGTTCGGTCTGGTCTGCGATGGCTACCGGCACTGTTAGCTTATGGCTCGGGCGGTGAAATGTGTATATCGACTTACCATTCGACTCAAGAACTCTGTCGTACACCTCGTACGTCAGCAACGGCATCGGAAGCTTCCTGAAGTATTGCTTCAACACGCTCGTCACCGCGGTGATGTCCAGGCCAGGGTCTGAGATGTCGTAGTCCTCGCTCTTGTCGAATCCTTCTTGGATTACCTTCACCAGGGAGTTGCCGCCCGTCTTTCGGTAGATGCCCTCAATATCCATACCACGAAGCTCAACCTCTTCGATACAACGTGTCACCACGCTGGGGATGGTGCGCCTTTCGTAATCGGCTCTTTCAGTTAGATCCGAGCCAAACAAGGTGGTGGGCGCCTCCGCGATCGTGGGCGTCGACACGTTAGTCGTGGACATGGACTTCTGATTATTCTTGTTCTTGAAGAAGCCAAATCCTTGTGCTTGCTGCGCATTCTTCTGCTGTGCGGTAGGTCCAGGAGCCTGGGTACTGGGTGCTTCCACTTGAGAAACAGTCATGTTGTATGGCAGACCGATGCTGTCCCCTGTCAGGCCCTGATGCGGACCGCGTTCGCGCTCCTGCTGGAAAGCCACAACGGCACGGTTGACACCCTTGGCCACGCTTCCTGCCAGGCCCTTGGATCCCTTCTTCCAGTTGAACTTCTTCACCTGCCCCTTCCTGATATCAACCACCGTCGGTCGGGCTTCAACAACTGGCTCATCCGTCTCATGAACGAGAGTCGTGGTCATGCTCGCCGAATCGGTGAGGTTTAGGTTGGATGATGAAAAGACCTTGCTCTGGCTGTAAATGCCAAGGCCGTTGGGAGACTTGAGTTCGCCCCCAATCTGAGACTTGAACCGTTCTTGGATCTGGTGAGTCAAGTCGTTGTTCATGTCCGCGAGCTGGGCGTTCTTGGAAGAAAGCTGCTCAAACTCCAGCAGGGCGCGGTCCCTGTCAGCCATTGCTTGGTTCTTCTCGTCGACCAGCTCGTCGCGTTCCTCGTGCAGTTGCTCAATAGCTGCGCTCATTGCCTGCTTGACCTTGTCAAGCTTCTGCACAAACTCCTTGATTGCGGAATCTTCCAGGTCGCGGGGGTCGACAGGTGTCTTGGTCTCCTTTGCGCGTTCGACGTATCCGGCGAGAACTTCGAGCTGACGAATCATAATCTCAGTCTGAGTATCCAACACCGAAACTGTCTTGCGCTTTTCGATGAGTGTCTTGTTGAGACGCTTCAAGTCCTTTTCCGTAGTGAACTGTCTCTCCAACTCGGCAACACGATTCTCTGAGTTGCGCAGTTGCCTCTTGAGGAAAGCCGGATCGTCGCTCGAGTGGAGGGAAATAGGGCTGCTGATCTCATGTCCGTTGGGATCCTCGGCGATGGGGGTCTTGGGCCAGCGAGGAGAAGCGGTACCACGGGTGGTCTCACTGATACTCCTCGTGTGACCTGTGACTCTATGAGGATGTTGAGTCTGAGAATGACCACCCTCGGTACTATTGGTACGTCCGTGACGGACAGCATTTGATACACGACGAAGGATGGACGACGAATCTGCGTCGGTGCCGAGTATCCTCGCCATGTCCTCGTCCATACTGAAATCGCCACCTGCACTCCATCTAGGCAGCTTAGGTGACACCTTTCCTTCCTCGTTGACGTTCGCCTGATCCTTTGCGGGTGGATTGGGAGAGTTAGCAGGTTTGCCGGGCGGTTGCGGGGGTGCTCGAGGCTGCATGTAAGTATCGCTGAGCTTGTGCTCAGTCATATTTGGTCGCGCGGCTGCGAGACCCGATGAGCTTGTCTCATCATGTGTGTTGGATCGACCTAGAGGTTTACCGTTGGCTGTGGGAGAGTAAAAAGAAGGTTAGGTCGGTGCGCCTTGCATGATGGTAAAACACGTATGCGGAATTTACTTACAGTTACGCGAGGGAAGTTCTTTACGAGCAATGGATTTGCCAGCAGTTGTGTCTGTTCGCGAGGAAGAGATGGAGTCCATCGAAGGACGCACCTCGCCCTCATCGCGCTGTCTCGAATCTTGAGACGATCGGGCCATGCGGGGAGGTGAATCGGACGAAGGCAAGTTAGGGAACGGCTCCTTGTCTTTGCGCAGAACACCTTCACTGCTCTTGGCGCTGCCGCTCTCTGGGGTCAAGGCGGCCGAGTGAGAGGCACTTCTCGGGCTAATGAGCTTCTTGCTCTTGGGTGCATCTTGCAGCTTAAACTCATCAATCGATGGCGAAAGCTTGCCGGTCGTAACCTTTTGCGATTTCTCATCATTGATGACCGATGATCGCCCATCATGCCTAGACGATTTTGAAGTCTTGCGCAGCGGCAACTTAATGGGTCCGGACTCATAATCGGACGACGGCTGTCGACCCTTCTCCTGAAAAGCAATATGGGGTGTTGAGGATTGGGATTCTCCCTTCTTATCAGTGCTGGCTCGGGGCACGCTGAAGTAATCCTTGTCCTTCTTGGATGTGCTGGACACGTTCTCCGATGTCGATCGTGGAGTGGCATTCGATGCCGGGTTATTGTCCAGCGCCACCGGAATGAAGAAACCGTCGTCACCACCGTTACTATCGGCGTTGTTATTAGGGGCGTACATGGTCGAGTTGCGGTTGTTGCGGTAGTTTGCGGCAGGAAGACCCAAGCCGCTTTCCCTGGTGGGCTCCGAGACACGCTCAGGAGAACGCGAAGGCCGAGTGCTATTTTTCGACGAGGAATCATTTCTGCCGTATGCCGGTCGCGGTCTTGGGGACAGCTCGGTCGGAGTTTCCTTGTCGGAGTCGGGGTCGACTTTGGTATCGTGGAAGGCATTTGGAGGAATGGCATTGGGCGGTAAGGCGGGCAGTGACTTGTCGGTAATCATGGGGGAGCCGTCCTTCTCTTTCGACTTGGCCTGGGCTGCTGCTTTTGATTTTTTCCTCCGTCTTGCCATGAGCGACTCATGACAACTCATACAGAAGATGCCTTGTGAGGTTCGAGCATATCGCAGGTTCTCAATCTTCCGCTTGCAGTTGCGACACCTAAAGCACGTTGCGCAGAAGGCCTGATCTCCAGTGAGGATGGCAAGGTCTTCGATCTTGTTGTTGCAAGCACTGCAGCTATATGTACAGTTGTTGCAGATGAGCGAGCCGTCGCCCAGGAGTAGCAGGTTCGCATCGGAATCGAGAAGGGTGCCGCAGGTATTGCAGCGGAAGCAGTTGAGATGCCATCGGTTGCCAGCTGAAGTAGGAGGAGACTGGTTAGCCTGGTTGAACTTGGAGACTGCGGACGGCGCCATGGCCACGGAGGACAACATGGCCACAGAGTGAAGCCAGATGATGCTGCTCAGAGCATATTACAGAAACAGAGAATAGGGCAAGAGAGAGTTGAGAAGAGAAGCAATTGTAGGGGACATACCAAGTTCGAACGCTTTGCCCTCTTCTAGGATCTAGTCGGGTAGGGTACCGCCGTCAGTACGTGCTTGCAGAATAGTCAGAAGTAACGGGGGTGGGCCATCGTACCTCGCCGCAACCTTTGCAAGGGAAGACGTCGTCGTTGTCCATGGGACTCTCCAAGTAATCCTCCACGACGGCAGTCATGACGGGCAGAAGGTCCTTTTTTCGTAGGACGTCGTCACGACAATTATCTGGCGAGAAGGAAGACGACTTTGTCGCCGGTCATGAAAGCAAGTCGGAAGCAAAACGATCGATAGGCGAAGGATCGACTGTGAAAAGCTGTATCATGGACGACAAGAGATGAGGGTCGGTCGGCAGGCTGTGCGGTTCGTGCCAGAAGCTCGACAGGAAGGGCGTGTACGACGGGCAAGGTAGCTTGGAGTGAATGGCGCCTCGAAAAGGGGTGTGTGCTCAGAAGCGCGATAGCAGCAAAAGCAGATGAGCGGTGCGGAAAGTGAATTTCGAGGTGGTGAGAGTAGCGAGGGGCGTGGGCGGTGTCGTCGTGGTGGTAGCGCTCGTTTGATTTCGTCTGGAGGGTTTTCGATGTAGTTCGCCAGCGAGAAGGTGAGAGGTTGTACTCGAGGGCTCGGGGCCTCTGGGGGAGGCGGAAAAAAAAAGGAAAGGCAAAAAAGACAAAAAAGAAGCGATACGGCGCCGGTGATGAAAATCAGGGTTAGGTGAGGTGAAGCAAGGTAATGAGGTTAAGTGGCAGAGGCCGTGATCTCGCAGTAGCAGTGGAAGCGAGAGCAAAGCTGGGCGCGGGCTTGTCGAATTGGGAATTGTGGTGACAAACTAGGCCCTCGAATGGTCGGTTGGATGAAGAGGTGCGACGACGACGTGGAGGACGAGCGAGACGATGGCAAGCCCTGGCTTGGTCCGTGGTACCGGGCTAACAGCCACGGGATGATGAGGACCGAACCTGGCGTACAGTACCTGGGAACCTACGGAGTAAGGTAGCAAAGGGTGGGTGGACGGGTTCAGGGGGCTGTCCAGGCCCTTAGAGAGGTACAAGAGAGTTTGATGGGGGGAGGAGAGCTGGAAGGCCTCTACTGCGTAATGAAGGAAGGTGCTTGCAACGCGCGGACCTTGCCTTAAGGCAGTGACGGGTTGTGTACGGAGTACGTAGTACAGAGAAAAGGTAATATGGAAGCTAAGGTAAATTGCTAGCGTGTACGAGAAAAGCGAGGGGGTGGAACTTGGAAGATTGTCCATGTACCTTTATCCGTACCCAAAGGTAGTACCTTAGGTAAATGGCAGTGGGTGTGGTATACGGATACCATACAATCAAGTGAGGGAGAGAACGCGAGAGAAGGGGAGAGGAAAGGAAATGTGCCTTCCTCGACACACACACATACACACACACACACACACACACACACACACACATTCACAGAGAGGGACAGAGGGAAAAAAGAGCGCGAGGAAATGATCACTGGTGGATGGCGGTGGCGCTCGTCGTGGAATTTGGGGGGGACTCGGGGGAGGAGGAGGACTCTGGATGGAACGGGAGACTGATAGACTGAGGTGGAGGTGGAATCGGGGACTGGAACTGGATGAGAAACGGGGCTGGACGGACGGGAGGTGGAACGGGATGATGGGACACTCACACACAAACGCTGGTAGATGTGATGGATGGTGCGGTGCCGTGGTACGGAGGGGGTGATGAAGTTGGGAACAGGGCGGGAGTGATCGGTACCTTGGAGCGAGGTACTTCCTGGTTCCCATCTCCTTCAATCACCCTTCCATGAGTACCTGCCTAGGACTCTAGGTAGCTTACCCCCTCCCCGGGCGGGCAGGCAGGGCAAGCAGCGGGGTGGGTGTCTGGAGTCCAACACTTTTTTTTTTTTTTTTTCGTCTCATACGGCAGGCAATGCATTGTGTTAACTTTGTTCGCCAAAACTGAGAACATCATTCAGTTTAATCAAGACGCTTCCGATGAGGTTGAGATGAAATGAGAGACCCAGTCGCTGCTTCTATGCCGAACCACACACATGGCTATCAACATCAACCTGTGTATAAAGTATGTGTCATTTTATGCAGACATCTCAGAGCAGACGATGTCCCACGTGCCTGAGCTAGGCAGGACTCCAAGAGGCGTCTTTTCGCAGGCATAAGGGCAATTTGGGCTTGCAGTGCCGTCCGTTTTACGCAGAGCCACAACGCTTTGTAGCATGAAGAAAGACACGGGAAAGAAAACAACCAAAAGATTAAGACAGAGATAGAGAGAAGAGGGATTGTTGCTATTTTGTTTTTTGCTGTTGTCTCTCGGGCACACAGACTGAACACCCCCCCCCCCCCCAAATCTGCGACTCTTCATTGTTATGCTTCTACAACTCCAAGAGATGCTGGGACAGAAGAAGGAATACGTGACATGACACCTATCCGCGAGCTAAGGTATGTGGGCGCGCATAATCCGTACAGATATATGTATATAGTATCCGTAGAAGCCATTATTGAGCCGTGGCAGCCCAAAGTGAACGGGACGTGGATCTGAGAAAAGAAGATGAGCAGAGGCCCATCCCCTTCTGTGGCACAAATAGTGGAACCTCTCATCACTCAAACCCCCCTCCACGAGTCCACAGTCCACTCCATATCATCATGTCTGCTGCTGGGGTCATCTCCCAGCGGCGGAGCGAGGGACTCAAGTCTCATGGGAATAAGACGTGGGGTGTTCCGCCAGGAACCCAAGCCTGCTGACTGGCTACTGGCCGCCAGGGGCTTCGGTACCTACTGGATGCCACTTCGCTAGGTATTTTCAAGCCCATTGAGAGGGACAGAATACTCATCGGAGAAGTCGATAGTGACAAGTGCACTTGTAACATCCAAGTCGATAGACAGCAGTGCAACAAGAACATGCTGGGACATGCTGGGCAGGGAACTCGTACACCAGACTTCGACACAAGTGCCTCTAGAACCGTACACAGCAAACAAATCATGTTGACCAGCGGTGCTATGTAAGCCCGATGAGCGTTGCACTTTTTTGATGAAAGTCGCCGCCGCTGGTTGCATGGGCCCGATTTCATGTGCCCGCATCGAAATTGCAATTCGTATTGTTGACAACGTCGAATTTCCAGACTGATGAGGTGAAGTGGGTGGGCCAGGCGGTAATAAGCAATGAACTTGAAGCGGTAGAGTATGTACTTTCAACCAACGTCTCTGGTGACTTACACGCTCAGGCCCATTGAATAAGAACCGAAGCACAGGAGGCGACGGTGTTGTGCTAGGCGAAGCATAACAACGACTACCATCTACGCCGGGCATATGTAGCTGTCTAGGCAAAGGTGATTGTAGGCCTTGGGTGCGGTTGCAAGTAGCCGGTACGGATGTTCGATAAGTTGATCGTCTCAACACATGCCTTGGTACGGCTCAGCACTAGGACGACAATGTGTTGTTGTTGATCGTCTTCGCAGTAGAGTAAGCAGCAGGAGTTGAGACGGCGTAGGATGGTACCTCTCTGCAATGTACCGCAGAGAAGCTACAGCTCGTGACCCGAGTCCATCATCTCGAGCAACACTTATTTCTCTCATTGTCTGCATCTCTCGCGCGCTGCATGCACGTAAAAAGTGCGGTGTGTGGTACCTGAACGGCATCCGACGGGATGTCCCTATGCGCCGTTAGCTGCAGGTCCAGCTGAGGCACGGTCGAGGCTTGGGACACCAGCCAGGCCCAGTCGGCGATCCGTTCGTGCTCCCTAAGCAGCTAAGTTCCTACGGGTTAGCCCCGAGAAACTGCGAGCGAGCTATGAGCTGGCGACAAGACTCCAAGATTGGGTTTGAGCTTGATAGCAATAATGACTCGAAGGTGACGCGAGGGTTTGAAGTGGGTTTCTCCCCGAACCCAGTTGCCGACATTTTGGGCAGTCAAAATCCAGTCGACGATGGGTGAGCAAAGAGGCAAACCAAACGTGTGGTTGAAGAACCGGCAAGGCACGCACGTTGTATGAACGGTATCAGAACATCAGACGGAGAACCGAAACGGCTGGTAGACACACGACGGATTGAAACCAAGTCGTTTCTCCTTGCCCGTGGCTCGGCTGTGGCTGTCACGTCCACGTCGTGTGTCTTGTGTCGTGTGTCGTTCCAGCAAGGCAAGGCAGGTCCTAGGTTGACATGAACCAGCGGGACGCCAGAAGCTCGAGGTATCTGGAGTTCCCAGGTGAAGGGAAGTCTATACTAAATTTAGCGAGACGTGTCGTTGACTAGGTGCCATCCAACGATCGGGATACCGCGTCTAATAATGTCATCATATCCGTCAGCTTACATAGATGATAGCACAGTACTCTGTACGGATAGAGAGGCAGCAGAGGAACAAAGGAGCTAGTCGGCTGTTGGTCTGGCCCTCCTGATCAGCGACCAAGCTCTGACCCCCTTACAGCTCGCATCGTGTGGCTCAACGACAACCCTGCTATTATGTTAGTGTAGCGCCAGGCTCGGAGCTGGAGATCAACAGAGGATGAGGATGGCGATGAGCCGCGCTGGACTGTTGAATTCGAGCGAAGAAGGTTGATCAATACGTTTCAGCGGCGAAGAGGACGCCTGGAATAATCGGATTGAACGCATTGCCACCATGGCACACACACTGTAGGGTTGAGTTGTGGTCAATGGTCGTTAATCGAGCGTCTCACGGAGACTTTGTGGTGTTGGGGTACGGTACTACGAATAGTGCCCTGCCAAGTATTAGATGCGCCGGAGCTTTGTGAGAGGAAATCAATCTCCAGGAAAGGAGGCCAGTTGGGGGTAGGATCGAGTCTGCAGGGACCAATCCAGTGGCAGACTGTCATGGCAGGCCATATGATTGCCATGGATGATGGTAGTGAGCGTTGGAAAGTTGGTAAGCAGTAAGG